CGAACAGGTGGAATTTACGCAGCTCATTTACACACCTTTCCTGAAGATAGAAGAGTTTGTTGAATCTAATGTGACATGCTTGTATGCACCCTTCATACGAACAAAAGTAAGAGAAATTTAGGAGAAGAATACGAACATGTTCTTGCATGAGGCCCAATGTGAGAGCTGTGAAGAAAAACCCAAAACATCAGTAAGTGACATCYTCAACGACCTCCACAGTGCAGAGGTGACAGTATGAAGACTCAAAACAGAAACGTAGAGACCAAACACAAAGATGAAACCACTCATCAAGCACAGACTGAAACTTGTAAAGAAGAACAGATGAGCTGCAAAAGTTCTTGAAGACAGTCTTATCAGCTGATGAGACCAAGATTAATCTTTACCAAAGTAATGAAACACCAAAGTGTGGAGACAGGACAACAAAAAACAAGAAAATCTGACTTTCTGTTCCAGTAGTTTTGGAGAGAACTGTGTTTCTACAGTTTATACTGTAGCACTGGGTGCCACGTGTACCTTTTCATTAAGTGTTTGTTTGCACTGTGCCATATTCTGCTCATTGATATCAGTGGTTAGCATTAGTTCAATGCATAAATGTCAATGTATGCATCTACAACAGACTACCTTTAGGAGTCGGCACAATTCAAGATGGGTGCCATGTCGAATAAACTTTTACAATTACAGAAAGACAGTGGGCAAGTGCCTTCCTTTAAGGAATGTGAGGCCTTTTAAATTGTAAGTTCATGTAACCACATTATGTATTTGAGAAAGTTTAAGGTATAACATTTATGGATTGGTGTAAGATTTATAGTTGTTGGGAAAACAGCTGTCAAAGCATGTTACCCTGTTCCTGCTGGGTGAATCAGGAGTATGAACAACAGTTAGTACCATGGCACAGAGTTCTGTTGAAGGTCTTCTTACTTCAGTTTGATGTGACAACACTCCACACACTTTCACTGCACAGGAAACCACACAACAGTGACACACATGCAATCATTTCCTGAAGAAAACCAAACCACATTTACCTTCTGATTTTCTCTGTGTTGCAGCTTGTTTTTGTGTTCCACGAGATTGGTTTTTAGTAGGGATGCAAGTTATCGATTATTAAATTAATCTAAAGTTGATTGATCTTATTCATCGACTAATGATTCGTTGATAAGCGGCCATTTTCCTAAAAACCTGACATTTCTCTGGAATCAAGGGTCTTTCTACAGTTGTGGTCAAAAGTTTACATACACTTGTAAAGAAACATAATGTTATGGCTGTCTTGAGTTTTCAATAAGTTCTACAACTCTTATTTTTCTGTGATAGAGTGATCGGAACACATACATGTTTGTCACAAAAAACAGTCATAAAATTTGGTTCTTTCATAAATTTATTAAGGGTCTGCTGAAAATGTCACCAAATCTGCTGGGTCAAAAATATACATACAGCAACAAAATTTGTCAATTTTGGTGATGTAGCGAGTTGTGTCAATCAAATTAGCTTCATGTCATGGCCTCTTCACTTCTTGTAAGTGATTCTGATTGACTACAGCTGTTGACTTCTCATGAGCCCATTTAAATAGGGCTCATTTGACCCAGTGATTAGAGTCAGCTACAAAAGCTACAATGGGAAAGTCAAAGGAACTCAGTGTGGATCTGAAAAAGCGAATTATTGACTTGAACAAGTCAGGGAAGTCACTTGGAGTCATTTCAAAGCAGCTACAGGTCCCAAGAGCAACTGTGCAGACAATTATACGCAAGTATAAAGTGCATGGAACAGTTGTGTCACTGCCACGATCAGGAAGAAAACGCAAGCTATCACATGCTGCCGAGAGGAGATTGGTCAGGATGGTCAAGAGTCAACCAAGAATCACCAAGAAGCAGGTCTGCAAGGATTTGGAAGCTGATGGAACACAGGTGTCAGTCTCCACAGTCAAGCGTGTTTTACATCGCCATGGACTGAGAGGCTGCCGTGCAAGAAAGAAGCCCTTGCTCCAGACAAGGCACCTTAAGACTCGGCTGAAGTTTGCTGCTGATCACATGGACAAAGATAAAACCTTCTGGAGGAAAGTTCTCTGGTCAGACGAAACAAAAATTGAGCTGTTTGGCCACAACACCCAGCAATATGTTTGGAGGAGAAAAGGTGAGGCCTTTAATCCCAGGAACACCATGCCTACTGTCAAGCATGGTGGTGGTAGTATTATGCTCTGGGGATGTTTTGCTGCCAGTGGAACTGGTTCTTTGCAGAAAGTAAATGGGATAATGAAGAAGGAGGATTACCTCCAAATTCTGCAGGAAAACTTAAAACCATCAGCCCGAAGGTTGGGTCTTGGGRGCAGTTGGGTGTTCCAACAAGACAATGACCCAAAACACACATCAAAAGTGGTAAAGGAATGGCTAAACCAGGCTAGAATTAAGGTTTTAGAATGGCCTTCCCAAAGTCCTGACTTAAACCCCATTGAGAACATGTGGACAGTGCTAAAGAAACAGGTTCATGCAAGAAAACCATCACATTTAGCTGAACTGCACCAATTCTGTCAAGAAGAGTGGTCAAACATTCGACCTGAAGCTTGCCAGGAGCTTGTGGATGGCTACCAAAAGCGCCTAGTTGCCGTGAAAATTGCCAAGGGACATGTAACCAAATACTAATGTTGCTGTATGTATATTTTTGACCCAGCAGATTTGGTGACATTTTCAGCAGACCCATAATAAATTTATGAAAGAACCAAATTTTATGACTGTTTTTTGTGACAAACATGTATGTGTTCCGATCACTCTATCACAGAAAAATAAGAGTTGTAGAACTTATTGAAAACTCAAGACAGCCATAACATTATGTTTTTTTACAAGTGTATGTAAACTTTTGACCACAACTGTATGTCTACGTTCTCACTGCAGGCAAATGAGACCCAAATCTGATTTTTTTTTTTTTTGCCCCATCTGACCCATATCTGATTTTTTAAATGACAGTCTGAACGRAACAAATTTGATTTTCTCAAAACCAACCCAGGCAGTTTCAGTAAAWGGTTCTAAATGACCGTCTCAGTCATAAAAATAACCCAGGGCACAGACAAAACTTCAAACTTTTCAAAAATAAGGGTTTATTAACAAAAAAAGGAAGCTGGCAAGGCAGCTCAAAAAACTCACTCAAGGCTTTGTGGAACAAGACTTAAAAACACTAAGGGACTGCACAGGCTGGACAACACAGCACGATGATCAGACGCAGACTGAAGACAGGACACCAAATTTAAAGGTAAACTAATGAGGACAAACCAGAAACACAAGGGCAATCAGGTGTGCAAGGGCGGGGCAGCTGAACAGAGAAACACAGGGGAAACACTGAAACACTAGGAAAAACAAAGCCCCTCAACGTCGGCTCCTGATGTCGACAAGAGGAGCTAGACYAGACTCGGGAACACGTGACAACACAGACTCAAAGACAGAACACAGAGTTCAGGGGGGCGGCCAGGGAACCATCCACAACAAAGCCCCGCAGGAACAGACGTTAGGCCACAAGAGGAGGCGAGAGCAGACGTGGAGCCAGAGGAGGAAGCGGGAGGCGGTGAGAAGCCAGCGGAGGTTAATGGAGCAGGAGCCTTGGCGACGGCGGACAGAGGTGACGAAGAGGCGATGACTGATGACCCAGGCGACATGGAGACGATGGACGACTTAGTGCAGTGTAATTTGCTTGATTTTTTGCTGATTATTTAGTTTGAGGATTTGCCACGTTATCGATAATCTATCAGGAATGAAACATTGGTTTGTGAAATTTTAATGRCATTGAAAACCAAAAAGAAAACATAAGTAGGTCCTCTGGATGGTTCTTCTTTAGTGAAAAGTTTCATCTCTCCTCCAAGAGACTTCTTCAGTCTGATGAGTTTCAGGTGAACTCAGCCTTATAAGCTCCACCTCCACATGGACAAACAGGTTAGTCATATGCTAAAGAGGACCATCGACTAACAATAGGCTTGATTGGCTCTATTGTTCATAGAGGGTGTCCAGTTGTCCTCCTCTTACAACGCTGTTATTACAACTATGACTCCGCCCCCTGTGAGCAAAAGGTGTGAATCAGGGCTCCAATGGTACCAACACAAAGAGGGAGGGAGGAACAAAAACAAGGGGATGTTAAACCCCCGCTTGCATTCACTACACTTAAAACGACACGAGTCAGGTGATGGGACACATGACCCTCTATGAACAATAGAACTAATCAAGTCTATTGTTAGTCGATGGTCCTCTTTTGCATG